AGCAATTTCCTTCCCTTATGTTTAATAAAAATTTCAAATATTTTATACGTAAAATAAATAATATTTTTAAAAATGTAATAAACCAACTGTTTTATGTGCTTGACTATAAAAAATGGAATAAGAAAACACAAAAATTATTAAAATATTTGTTTTTCTTAAATATATTTTAGTTTTTATTGAAACCACAATTTTACTAGAAAAATATATTTTTGTGAATAAAAAGCTAAATTTTTTGATGCAGAAAAATGGTTAAATACGTGTACAAAATTTTTACTTAATTTATTACACAATTTATATTTTCTGGATATTGTTGATAAACTATTATTATAATCATTATATATAGAAGCAAAGACGTATCGAGAGCAGAATAAATTTTTAGTGCTAATCAATGATTAGATTTTGATAAAATTAAGTTTAAGGTTTGTTACACCAGTGTTTATATAGAAGCAAATCAATGTCAACTCAGTGGTGCAGCCTTTGTCTGTCAAGAACTAGCCATTCATGAAAATTGTAATTTAAAATTTCAATATCCTCTTCACAAAATCGCCAGGTATCATTGTTAGAAAGACCCAACTTGTTGAAGTGATATCACAGTATACAGTGACTGTAATGTAAACTTTAATTATGTCCTACTTAGCGTTAGCAACTGATAACCCGTTTGCAGGTATATGAAATTATTTTGATTGATGTTTAATAACTTTATTCGAATAACCTTTTGTGTGTTCATAGAGAAGCTCGATAATATACTACATAATGTAGAGAACTTGTATGAATTTTTTAACTACCCGTTGGAATGTTAAACGTGGAATTTTTAAGAACACGACAACCTCAATACATTTTCTTTTTCGATTTTGATTTCGATATTCTTTTATAGAATCAACTTGTATTCTACAGCGTGTGAATGGGTAGTTTTACATTGCTTTAAAATTTAAGATTTTCTTCTACATATAAGAAATATGATCAATACACGACTAAAATACAGCAGCTCTAGAACTGGGACTATATGTTTTCTTCTTCTTCTTTATTCCATTAAACCCCAGTGGAGTAACTACGCTTGATCATGCCTGATCATTTACAGAAATGCATTTCTCAATCTAATCTATTATTGTTTAGAATGCATTTCTCAATCTAATCTAGTATTATTTAATCGTGTATTTGACATTATAGGTTAATTAGTTTTATGGTCATAAATCTGGATTTATAGCATTTTTTAAATGATTAAAACATAAAATTGTTCACACAAACAATTGTTTATATTCTACGTCAAGCCGAATTCTGGTCCATGTTGCGTATTCAATATTTGTTGTGACTATTTTCTTTATTATGACATTCAAGTTTTTATGGACTTCATAGACTTTAAATGCAATTGAATTATAATTACTTAAACTACATTAAGCCATAATAAATTTAATTAATAACTCATTTTCTATAATTTGTCATTAACTGTAATTTGTTTGACGCTATATTAATCATTGCGTGTCATTGTACTAATTAAGAAGTACAATTACTCAATTAACAGGCAATCATAATTAAACTTATTCTATTTAAAGTTACAAATATTAAATTATAGTTACTCATTGAAACTTTAAAACTGAAACAAGTTTTCTAGAAAAACAGTCATACATTCCTGATACTTACACATATGTTTTTAGGAAAACTAGATGAATATGTTTCTTATCTGTCAAACCACAAAAATTGATGTTGAGCAAACCACACATAAATTCATTTAAATCAAATTTACAACAATATTACACATTCACAATTATTGTTTTATCATATAAAACAGCTTGACACCTAAATGAAAACATCACACAATATTGTCAAACAGCTGAAACAGACAGGCAGACAACCTACTGAAGTTGCAACTGATGAGTACGCAGGTGGCCTTAGCTGCTGAAGACAAGCTTTATGTCATGCTGTACATCATGCTATACATCATGCTGTACACTTGCTCATACATATTTTTGGCATGTAATTGTATGCGTTTATCAAAAACTTCAGTAGTTTACAATATTGTTGGCCAAAATGAATTGATGTGCCAAATTTATTTATAATGTGTTAACAAACTTCAATCTACATCCAATATGCTTCCCTCAAATATCTGAAAGATATTTATCTTTGATTAAATTTAGTCATACATATTTATATGTTTGTAAAATTAGCTGTATACAATTGTATACAGCGAAACAAAAATTTTGTTTTGCTAAATGTAAAATTAAGCATGAAAATTTTACATTAACAATCTGCGTACACGATTACCTTTCATTTTATGTCAAAGGACACGCAAGCTTTCTGTAGCTTAATTTTGTTGATGGATTTAGGAAATGATATTTATTATACATCATTTTTTTTTTTATTTTTATTTTCTACACATTTTTATAGTATTTAATTTTGCATGTGAGTACTTGAAAATAAATTGTTATCATGCTGAGTATTTTATTTTCATACTTTGTCAAATTTATTTAAGTCTCATTTGAATGATATATATGAAAAATAAAATGAAATAACTATTATACTTAAGAAAAAGAATTATGTCATATTTATGAATTACGTCTTGAAATACTGCATTTATGTTTTCCTAGTTTTTAAGTGTTTAATAAAGGTGTTGAAATGTATATATATGCAAAATGTGAAATAACATATAAACCATTAATGCAGCAATCGAATTTCTGTCCAAGAAACGAAAAAAATGTATATAGAAAATTATTTTATTTACAAAATTGCTAAGATAAAAGAAATTTACTTAAAAAAATAATTTCCAGCTAATTATTTTCAAATATGATTCACTCAAATATCTGTATCATATTTTTGTAGATCATAAATTATGGTAGTTATTATTAACTTATAGTCCATTTAGTGTCGCTACGTTCAAAACCAAATACTTTATTATAATTAAATGGTTTCGTAAATTATTATAATAATTTTTATACCTACATCTCTAAGTTATATCTATCTAACTTTATTACCTAATATATTATTTTATTTCAACATATTCGGAATTATATTTCCGTCCATCAAGATGTTTCATATAGTAACGTTTTTAAAGTTACTGAATATATTGAATATATATAATATTAAATATAATATTTATTACTCGTTTTTGAAAATATCTAATAATAATATAAAATATCGTTTTTGAAATAATAAATAATATAACTTAACATATCAATAACTCACTGATTATCGCTTATCAAAAAAGAAAAGTTAATAAAAATAAATAGGATTTCATTAAGATTACAAAAAGTAACATAATAATACTAACATAATAAATTTATTATAGAGGTTCCAGTTAGAACAAACAATTACGAATTTAGAAAATATTTTGACCGGAAATTTAGTTTCGAACTTCAAAGAAAGTATTTGGAGCTGACCTGCTAAATAAAGATCAGCATATTTTATCTCGATAAATTGGTAATTACTGAACCTTTCTTTTGATTTGGAATAATGTAGCACACTTACTAAGAAGTTTAATTCTTTTTCATGTATATATACACTAATACCAAAATGTGTAATTAAAACTTATATATGTAGAACTATACACTTTTTAAAAAAGTAATTTTTAATAATATGCTAAATCAGATAATATTTGCTTTTAAGAAATAATTAAGAATTTTAAAACTTAATCTTAAATTAAATTCTAAATTTAGGAATTTAGTTTCTTTCATCAAAACGGAGTTTTAAAAATTAATTTATTTATTAATTTATTTATAAAATTTGTAGTCAAAAAGAAATCAAAAAGAAATATTAAGAACTAATATTAATAATAACAAAAATAATCCTATATTTTATAGGCTCATATTAATGAATAATATAATTAAAAATAATTATACTATTTAAAACTATTATAAAAATATATTATTTTAATATAGCATTGGGCAAAACGCACATAAGTACATTTTTAGAAAATTAAAAAGAAATATATTTTGATCTCAATAATAACTTAATAATACTTAAAATTCTTATAGTTAAAAGCTTCTGTGACTGTAAATAGCTAACTATAACTATTCTATAACTATATAGAATAGTTCTACTCAAATTAGTCTATATTTAAAAACATTTATTTTAAATATTGCATTGGGCAAAAAGTATTTGTCGTTTTCTTTTTTTGAAAAATTCAAAATATCGTCTAATTTATGTGATAACTTTTCTTACATCTACATTGTTTAAATGCTTTTTAGTACAACTTATGTATATTTAGAAAATTTTATTAAAAAAAATTAATACTTACAGATATTAATTGTTTTTATATATATTTTATTGTATTGGACAAAAAGTACTTATCGTTTTTTTGTGAAAACCTAAAAAAGGGTTTTAATTTTTACCATTTTATTTATACAAATATTTTGTGCCACTGTAGAGAAAGTCTTTAAAATCAAAATATTCTATAAATTACAAAAAATATATGCTATTATAAAAACAATATATCTTTCAAATACCCATGAGCACAGCTTGTTGCAAGTGCAAATTGCTTTACTTCAAAATTGAAACTTTTTATTACTCAAAAATTATTGCTCCATCACTTATAGAAAGAATAACTATGAACTATATTCAACACATTCTTCATCAATTTCAAATTGATATTTTGACTTCTAAAAGCAAAATATTAATATCATTTTAACAAATTTTTATATTGACGCTTAACACCAGCTACCACAAGGATATCAAGGATACCAAACAAAATGATTGATTAGTTTATTAACTATCATAGAGTAAAAAGGAGATACACATATGTTTGTAAGCATATTAAAATTTTACGAAAAATATTTATTTAACATTAAAAATGAACAAAACAATTATATTGAAACTGTTGCTTAATTGCTTATATTTCATCACACAAAATCGTTTTAAATTATTTTACAATATTAATTACATTAGTAAACAGATGTTATCAATCAAGAAACACAATAAAAATCAATCAAACTGTGTTGTAAAACATACACAAAGCGATTTAATTAAAGAACATAAACCAAATAAAAAAGGTATAGCAAAATTTTTATATAGAAACACTAAAGTGAATGACAGTTTGTTGTAATGAGACTTAAAAGTTTCAAAATGTCTTTTAAAACAAGTGAATTTTAAGGTATTATCATCCTTCACCTCAAACTGTCTTTCTAAAATTTATTGAAGACTTTTTGTTCTTTTACCTTTTGTTGAAATTTCTGGAAAATACTTGTGGTTCCATACTCGTATATTTGGGCAACATAGAAAGCATTCTTATGTACGTTAAAATGTGCTTATAGTTTATCAATCAATGTCACTAACCATACTAAATCTCTTTAATCGTGGAACGAGATTGAAGGGAAAAAATTAAATTTAATCTGTGTAATACAACATGCGGGGCAGGGTTACATGTAAGCGTTTGTGAAGTGATTTATATGGTTTGTGCTAAGTATGCATTTCCTTCTATTACATTATTAAGTTACATTTTTGTTTCTTTTTTTTTTTTGTTGCTGTTTTTTTACAAAAATTTTCTTGTGGTTTTATTTATTGATAAAATTTAAATTGGTGTAATTGGCAAATTGCATTGCATTGAATTT